AGGACATTACGCTGAGTGAAATAAGTCAATCACAAAAGGACAAATATTGTATGAGACCTCTATTGTAAAAACCCATGAAAAAGTTCACACACAAAAAGTAACAATCTTTGTTGGTTACAAGGGAGGGGAGGAGTAGAGGGGGATACAGTAAATCAACAATAGAGAAGTGGTATCTTTGGTGAAAGGTAAGAGAGTACACAATATTGGGGAAGCCAGCACAACTTGTACAAGGAAAGGTCATGGAAACTCCATAGACACATCCAAACTCCCTGAGGGACTGAACTGCTGGGAGGAGGACTGTGAGGACCATGGTCTCGGGGAACATCTTGCTCAATTGGCATAAAATAGTTTATAAAGACAGTAATCTACATCCTACCTTGGTGAGTAGCGTCTGGGGTCTTCATATCCTGTGAGCAGCCATCTAAGATACTCCACTGGTCTCACCCCTTTGGGAGCAAGGGAGAATGAAGAGAACAGGATACAAGGAAAAGATCAGTAAAAAGGACTAATGGACCACAGCTACCACAGCATCCACCAGACTGAGTCCAGCACAGCTAGATGGTGCCTGGTTACCACCACTGACTGCTCTGACTGGGATCATAACATTGGGTTCTGGACAGAGCTGGAGAAGGATGTAGAACAAAATTCTAACACACACACACACACACACACACAAAAAAAAAAAAAAACAGATTTACTGGCCTGAATGTGACTGGAGAAACCCCGAGAGTATGACCCCCAGACACCCTTTCATCTCAGTGGTGAAGTCACTTCTGAGGTTCACCGTTCAGCCAAGGATTGGACAGCTCCATAAAAAAAAAATGGGACTAATGAGGCACAGCAGTCCAGCGACAAGGACTAGAAGGCAGAAGGGGACAGGAAAGCTGGTGATAGGGAACCCAAGGCTGAGTAAGGTCAGTGGTTGTTACCCACTGTCATAGGGCAACATGTGTCCTGTTTAATGAGAAACTATTTTGTTCTGTAAACCTTCATTTAAAGTGAGAATAGCAGCCCAAACAGAAAAACGTATTCGATGTTGCAGAATTGTGCATGTAGAAATTTTTAAATGGTCTATCTTTGGCTATGTATATTCCCCCCGCAAAAAAAAGTCACGAAGGGAGAGTGTTGATATATTCTGGGGTTGTTAACCAATGTCATAAAACAATATATGTACTGTTTAATGAGAAACTATTTGTTCTGTAAACCTGCACCTAAAGTACAATAAAAATAAAAAATATTCTCAATGAAAATGATTAACTGTAATACTAATCAAATGAAGCATCACCAGCAGTAAGATACATCCACATCATGTGCCTCCTGATGATGTACTGAGAAGGGCACATCATTCCTGTTGTACTCTTGCTAGCAATGCACAGCCTTAATCTAAACTGACGAAAATAAGACAAACGCACATTGTGGGACATTAAAAACAGCTGTCAGTGAGTCAATTCTGACTCATGGCAATCCCATGTGTGTCAGAGTAGAATTGTATTTCCACAGGATTTTCAGTGGCTGATTTTTGAAAGTAGATCACCAGGCCAGGAGAACATCACAACTATATGCAATGTGGAATCCTAAATTAAATCTTGGACCAAAAAAATGACTTTAATACTGGAAGTTTGAATAAGGTATGTGAATCAATTAGCAGTACATCAATTTAATTTTCTGGTTTTGGTAACTTATCGTGCATATGAAAGAAAATATAAGTAGAAGCTAGGGCCTATAAAGGAATTATATAAAAATTGCATTGCAACTATTTTGTAGGTAAAAAAAGTATTTCAAAGCAAAAAGTAAAGGAAACGATGCTAATCCTCAACTCTTTCCAGAAAAGCCAGTAAATCAAATACAAAACCGTGACAAAAACAGAAGAAAAATAATGCTACAGGTTGTCAACTCTGGAACATTCCTTCAGAAACTGCAAATAAAATTATAACAATTACAATGAGGGAGTATTTCAAAATAAACTTAGTTCATTCAGTCACAGAATGCAAGAAATGTTTCATTTCCAGAAATATTGTTCAACCTTATCAGTGATTATAAAATCAACTACAAAATGCTGAAGGCATTTTTATTAAATCTGTCACCCAAGTTGATGAAAATTTCTTAATAAAAGGATGTTTTCTAAAACAAACCTCAAACCAAGGCTACTGGCATTAACATTCAAATAGTCAAGAGCACTTTCTACTACTTATACTAAAAGTATTACTAATTTACTTTATCAAGATAACACTGATAAACTGTGAGAAAAGAAACACAATTTTAGAAATCCAATGAAATACTGTTAGTAAAAATGTACAAAAATGTCTTTCATATATTATTAAGAAAATAAATTGAGTAACAACAATTCTAATCATTAAATTACCAAAAATTAATCAATCTAGGAAATGACTGGAAAGGGATTTTGGAAAAAAAATTAACAATGAAGTTGTGCTATCAATATTCCAATTCAATCATTTGATAAAAACGGAAAGACATACCTTGTAGTTGGTTAAGAAGACTCAATTTTAAAGAGATCTAGTCTCTCCTAGTTAATGTATTAAATTTGGTGCAAATGAAATTAAAACTGCATTTCTTTCCATCTTGCAAAATAATTTTAAGCGTCAATTAGGAGGAAAACGTGATTATATACACGGGATATTCTGAAAAAGAAGAGACACAAGATAGAACTCAATAAGGTAGAACAGACAGTATAAATCACCAGTCATTAAGAAGTGTCAATAGAAGGCAAGGCAACCAAATAGAAGTATAGCCAACTTTATGTGGACATCTTCTATATGATTACGGTAGAACTCAATCACTTGCTCAAGATCAGACTAATACTTTGGAAATTTTAATGCTTTAAAACAAAAATAATGACTAATACAAAAATAAAATGACAAAAAATAATTCATAAAAATTAAATACAGACATGTTTCTGGTTTTTAAAGAAAAGCAAAACTCAGAAGCTATAAAATGTAATATGGTTATATTTAATACATAACTTCTGTACAACCAAAACACCACAATGACATAGAGTAAAACATGTTATTTGCAATGCATGTCAATGAAAATCTAAACCTACTTAATCATAAATGAGCTCTGAGAAACCAGTAACAAAGAAACTAATAGTGCAACAAAAATGAGGAAAAGGAAATAATTTAGATGAATAATAAAAGTATGTAATGATAAGTGCTGAATATTAACAGAAGAAAAACAATTTCTTTGTAATTTCACATGGTCAAAGATTTCTGTTATCTAATTATTTGTACAGTTGTAGGAAACACGGAATTCTCATTCACAAACACTGGGAAAGAAGACTGATAAAGATGTCTCTACCGACATCTATCTTACAGATAATCATGCAGACAGGTAAAGCTATTTAACCAAAATAGAACAAGGGGCTCAAAAATATTGTTTAAGAGAAAAAGCATATACAAACACACCCTCAGATAACGTGCATAAAAGAAAATCTCATTCCCATTAGATAATATTGGAGAACTAGAAGAAAAGACCATTAAGAAGTAAAATACTATACTTTGCAAATTTCTACACCTCTGAATTCTTCAAAATGATGGTTTTTTTCAGTGAACATCAGCTTTCTTATACCATTTTCTGATCTGCAAGAAGTGTCCACTGCAGCATGAAAGGGAGGAAACTGCATGCATGAGGAAGGTTATATTTTCATTTTGGTGAAGCTTGTCGTAGAAGCAATGGCATCAGTTTCTTATGCGGTCATTACCTGAGAGAACACAGTGGGAAGATGGCAAAAGATGAGAAGCACAACTTCTAGGATCAGTAGGGGCTAGTAAAATTTTTGCGTAAATGAAATGTAATATCCATTCTGTTATGAATAAACAGTAGGTGGATTGAAATTCCTCTTGGAATTTTCTAACTATAGGAGGGTACCAAAAAACTCAAACCCATTGCTGTTGATTGAGTTCTGACATTAGTCATCTTTCTTCTTATACCTTACTAAAATGGACTGATTTCTCCAACATTATCCTCAGTTTGCCCGGGTATCTTTTCAACTATGTATTTGGTTGCTCGCATATTTAAGTTACTCATTCTATATCCAGTCTACGTGCATTTCAGCACAAGCTACACCACAACGATGCCTAAATATTACAATGAAATTAAGAAAAGTAGATCAGTTCATTTAATGAGAAAAAAATAGTAATTGTACTAAGAAAATACAGGATCTACGACAGATCTTGGGAAAAGATAGAGCTCTTAAACCATTATTTCACCTGGCCATCAAAGGTCAACCTTCTATTTGGTGTAATTTAGCCTAGGAAAAGAAATATTTTGTGATTAAAACCTCTCCTTTGAGGTTATCCTTTGGTTAACAGGCAAAATGTCTGAGGAAGACTGTTGCAGGAATTTCGCCCTCTTGACAGCACATCCCAAGCAGTAACTTCCCAGGGGGCATAGAGGAAATTAAACAACAATGAGAAACATGCTACTTTTGATTTAATAGTAAATACACTGGAAACTGGGAATTCACTATTCGGTAGAACAATATTATTGGTTTCAATTAGAAACTGTCCCCTTCCACTCTACACACTTCCACAGCTATAACTTTGTTTCCATATCAGCATATTGCATTTGGATTCCTCTCTTTTGCATTTCCAAAAGTGACTTTATCTCACAGATTATGTCTTTCATTCTTTATTTCTTCTCTTTTATCTAGTTTACTCCAAAAGTCACCAAACGTAATTCAATAAAACTTTAGTCTATACCAGGCAATGATTATCAGTGCTTGCTGAAAAGTATCTGAAAAATTCAGATTATACGAAATTCAGATTGTGTGAGAAGTGGATTTCTGAAAATCAATTTAGTAATTTCTCTCTATGGGGTAAATACAGATTATTATGTGAGCACTGTGGAAGGAACTTCAACATAAACATGCCTAATGAGGCTCCACTGGTACAGCTCTTAACTACTATGTCTTCTTTATCTAGTACTTCATGTTATTCTGCAGTCACCTTAGCATTTTCACATCAAGAGATGGAGCCTCTACCCTAGAACATGACAGAAGTGATGCTGTAGACTTCTGAGAGGAGGTTAAGAACAGCCATTCAGCTTTCACAAGGTTCTCTTTGAACACTCACTTTCCATCTAGATGTTTCCTCTGCAAACCCAGCTGTGTGTTGATGCTATAGTGGAAAGCCTGCCCTGAGGCCAACATCAAGTCATCCCAAACCAGGTGACAGACATGTGAGTGAAGTTTCCAGATGATCCCTTAGACATTCTGGGAACTGTCAGAAATCCTGACCCACTGATTCAATAGACATAACAAAGTGATTGTTGTTTTACGCCACCAAGTTTCACAGTAATTTGCTATATAGCATTATATAATCGGATTTCAATGCCTACTAGCTTCCACCAAAGTCATCAAGATTAACAGCAGGATAATTTATAAACAGTCCTTCCCCCTACCCCTTCATCAAATGAGCACTCAATTACTTGTAAATCTTATTGCCAAAGGGTATTTTTGATACCAGAAATGGTAGTGAAGAATTCTTGAACGAGGAATACTGCAATAGGTCATTCACTGGTGGTGCTACTCTTGCAGTTAAAAACAAAGACGGCAAAAGTGTTTCTTCCGGGAACTATTACCTCCTGACCTGTAAGGTGAGACACATCATTCTTACAGTACAGGTGAGGGAAGCAGGAAAAAAGATTCATATTGAACTTTGTTAAACATTTCTGTTAACCAATAGGAACAATTGCTCATTAATCAATCCATAGCTGGGTCTACAATCTTATCTGTTCAATATTAGGATGTTTTTATCCATTTACATGAATTTCCCTCTTCACCATAACCCCAAACAGTATTTGTCACAACATAAAAAGTTACTCCATTTCATAATTTCTAATTCTTGGACACTGAAGTGGTCATTTACTTTATGACATTACTTACATTTTAATGTTTGATAACAAGTAAACAGAAACAAGTAAATGGTAAATACAAATAAGTGAACAGAATGAAGACAGAAATAATCCCCAGCATTCTGCTTATTATTGTTCATGTTTACTTTGGTAGAATCTTTAAGTCATGCTAATTCTTTCCCATGACCAAAAATTGTAAAGGTCTGCACCAGTATTATTTTCCTTAAACTAGGCAAAGCCTCACACCTCAAAACAACACTTTTTGGTCCAAAACGTTCTTACCTGTGGTTTGCAGTTAAGACTTATGAATTAAGGGACTCTGTAAGAGGGGTGGCATTGCAAATGTCAGCTGTCCTTAGCTTATTTACAGATATGTATTTTGCTCATCATGATTACCTAAGAAACACGGCAAACAACATAGTGAAGGTGAGTTATGAATGAGGCATCAGAACAAACAAATTTAGATGACTTCACATTCATCAGGTATAGTAAACAGACATAACTAAGTTGACTCAACAAATATGACTGCCCACAGAGATAACCCTATTACTTTCTAATCTTTTAAGCACTTTTAGGACAAATGTTAATAATATTGAAATTTTTCCCTAGAAATTTTGAATTATCTATAAAAATGTAAATATTTATCTGAAATCCTTCTTACAGATTCAACAACTGTAGAAGGAAGTTAACAATCCATTCTCCATTTACTCCTAAATTAAGGGTAACTTCCAACCTATCCCATGAGACCCACATCAAACAACGTGATCTAGTCAATACCCACAAATATGGTATTGTCACTATGAAAACTCAGCCTCTTTAAATATTTCTGTGAAAGATATTTTAAATAACTATTGTCTTCATTCATCTGTCAACCCAAATATAATCTGTTGACACCTACCTCAAATCCCATTTTCTCTTTTCTTCTTTCCATGGGTAATCCAATACTGTTTCACTGTGTAAGACTCTCTGCTGCACTAGTCTCTAAATCACATGCTCTTCATGAGATCATTCAAAAACCGTTCATAATGGCCACTGAGAATACAACGTTGAATACAACAGCCCAACACTCCCAAGATGATAAGCAGGAATAAAGACAGGCATAAATAGGTTGTCTTTTTAAAATTCCCTGTTGAAATACTCTTGAAACTTCAAATGCAGAAAGTAGAAGCAGTCATTTTATTGCCACCTCTTTACAGAACTGTTTAAAAATATTTTAATGTTTTATTACAGATAATTTTCTATTCATAATCATATTATTTAAGATTTTTGTCATATAGCAATATACGTAGACAAAATGTTTAACTTTTTAAATCCAAATATTTATATTTCAAATAGAATGTTAAAATAATCACCATTTTCATTACACTGAGGAGTAAGCATTAGTAAACTTCATAATGATATTAGGCTAATCCCATTCCTCAGGAACAATTACCATTAACATGTCGGTTAGAATATCTAGACGCCTACCTACACAACTCTGCAAAAACTGACAACTAGTTGATGGTTGTTCTATGGTGACATAATGTTTTATAATATATTATGGTATTTTAAATATGAAAATACTACAAATACCCTTCCATTTCAGAATATTATTTCAGTGTATGAATTATAATCACGTTGAACAAACTATAATCATTACCAGATTTCTTTTGATTATTGATATATATTTCAGATGTTCAGGTTATTTGTTATTTTAATCTATAATACACATTTCTCTTAAAATTTTGAGGACTGGAATAGATAAGATCCCGGCAGGAAATTACACCATTTCAAAAGTAATGTACATGCTCAATTTTGATTGTCATTACCAAATATTTTTATTATATTTTGCCTAACACTGGCTAGTATCTTTAAATTATTCTAACTTATTTACACGGTGAGATATAGAACTCTTTTGACATTCATTTGTGATTATCACACAACATACATCCACAGTAAATCTCTTTAAAAACTATCAGAAAAACAAAACATTCATCATCACAGAAGTCATTCTCATGCAGATGTATACACATGGGAACAGATTAGAAAACAAATGGATATAAGAACTGCAATATTTTTGGTTATACCAGTAAAGCAGACTTCTAGAAATGTGTCTAAGCATAGAAATAAAACATAATTACCAGAGTCTTCAAACAGAAATAAAATCTAAATCAGTAAGTTAATAAGAATAAGGTAATAGTCCTGAAATAGAGCAGTTATCAGATCTGTACTAGTTTTGTGTTATGTGTGTATATATTTATGATGCATATGTATTATTTATACACAGATATTCATCTATATATAAATTTTCATAAGTACATTCACATAGTATAGAAAAATAACAATAATTTTAATCATTTGAATGTCTTTTAACTTTGTGTGTAGCTCTAATTTAAAATGACAATTCCATTCTCATGTCTTCCTCTTTCTTCCTAAAGATAAAATACATCCCAGGGGTTTCTTTCTTGGTTATAAGTATACAATGCTCCCAAAGACCAATGACTACAATCTAAACTTTTCCTCTACATGAAACAAACTCTGAAGACATAGTGGTAAAATCCGTTTATCCTGCTCCATTAAAACTCACGGAACAGACACCACAATGTTATATAGCCTTAAATAGGCCAATTATTATCTATTTTACTGCCAAAAAAAAAAAAATACAAAAGCCATTGTAACTATGATATCTTACAATGAAATATTTACAAATTTATACCCTGTGAGACTCCATTCATCTGGAATAACTAGATTTTTTTAATGGCATTATTTGTTATTTACAAAGTTGTCTTGAATGTTGTCACACAGTCCAATTACATACAAAACAGTATAGTTGAAGGAGGTAGGATACAATTGTCTTTATGTATAAAACATTTCCTATAATGATTATAAAATATATATTTATAGAATGCCCTATGAATAACTCAATACAAGTAGAAAATTATGATTTAGTCATACCAGTTTTTTTAATGTATACAATACAAACACTAAACAATGGTTAATATTAAAACTTTTTCAAGGAAAACAAAAATGGTAAAAATACAGAACTTTTCACTTCTTCTTACTATAACAATTTAATAAGCAGATACCAAAATATTTATACCTCAAAATCCCACAACTTTATCAATTTCATTGGTAAGATATTTGTAGAAAATGATGAAACCATGAAATTTTACAATGGATTATTTACAAAATTATACTTAGTGAGACTCTATACATCTAGAAAGGACTAGATGTTAAAAATTAAAAACTTGTGCCTGCCTCTTATTTACAAAGTTGATGTTGAATATTGTCACGCAACCAAGGGAGCACATACAGAAGAGTATATAGCTGCAAGAGGTAGTATAAAATCTCTTTAATAAAGTCATCTATATCATGAATGTTATCAGCAAAACAATAATATCACATTGGGAAATCTGATACATCCAGAATGACCAAATGAAATATTGTCTTCATGCACTTCACGTTTTTTTTTTTTGGGAGGGGGGAGGAGGAAGTATACTATTTATACAATGTAAAACTTTTCTTCTACATGAGAACTTCACTTTTTATTTTCTCCTTCTCCTAACAATCAAATTAATGTATGATAAATTCTGTATAGCTCCAAGAGCCTGTTCATCAATGATCAATTTCATTGCCAAGTCCATTGCAACAGACAATAGAAATACAAATTTACAACGAGAAACTTATAAAATTATACTTTAAGAGACTCTCGATACATCTAGAAATACTAGATGTTTAAATTTCAAATATTTCGTTTTCCCATTATTTACACAGTTTTCTTGAATATCGCCATGGAACAAATGAACATTGAAACATAGTCTATAAGATGTTCTTTACAAGTCTCTTAAAGAGGCAGAGGAATGTTTATATAAAATGAACTTGAAAAGCTTAATTTCAGCCTAAAAATTTTCCTCTAAATGATTATGTACGGCAAAAAACCTTTTTAATCATCACTCTGTCTCCCATCCTGACAGGAAGAATACAAAATAATAAAAATATATCTCGAAGAGACTTTTGTTAACTCAACTTCCCAGTAATTCATCTATAAATCACAGTGATACAATGCAGACTATATAAAGGTGAACTAACAATCAGTCACTAAAAGCAATTTTTCTACTGTCATTTGTCAAAAATGTTTACAAATATTACAAACACAGCTGTCTAACAATGAACCCCAAAGAGCCACCCATATAGAGTTCCTACAGTCATCTGCAAAAGTTATACATCTCCACCATATTGTTTTAACAATAGGAGGCATATAAAATATATGCATGTTTGCAATCTCTACACCAATAAAGAATATAAAGAACACTGTATATTACAGACATGAGGTCACAAAACAATATCCTTGTCTATACAACTTCTGACAAACCAGTGAACCCCAAGAAGGAAGCTAAAGATTGTAGTGATTAAAAAAAAAACTCTTATATTTAAAAAAATATATGTATATTGGTAATGTCTATACACTTAGAACATTATTTTAAAGAAATATCTAACTACATACACAAAAGTGTAAATATCCCACTCAACAGTCCAGAGGACTTTTCTATTCATCGGTCTATTTCATTTCTAGAAGAAAAAACAAAAAAAGCTTTGCTCTGTAACTTCAGGCAAATATATTTACAAAACACGACAGTAATTTCTGCACATCTATGAAGATACATGGTATTAACAAAAATATCTGACTACTATACACACAACTGTCTAATAACCACTCCCTTATACATAAAGTCACAAAGTAAAAACACATATAGAGTTGATTTAACATTTCTATTGCTAAGAGTTACTTTACTATGTATGTATTCCTTGAAGAGGTATTTTAGATATCATACGAGAAGCTTGTCTAATACACATACAGTCAAATGCTTCCTGCTCTTCCCCATCCAACAGCCTAAGGAACACAGAAGCAAGTCAACAATTAGACCGGAATATGAAAATTATACATATTTGCACATTCACAAATATGAATGGCAGTGATTACTTACGTATTAAAAAAATCTAATTAAAAACTCTCCAAACCCCAAAAAGAAACAAAGAAGAATCTCAAAACCAAACTCGGCCTAAGAAACTCAGGCAGATGCTTTCTCTGCTATATTTATCTTTAGGCAACCAATGATTTTACCCTTTAAATTCCAAAGAAAATTATTTCCAAAAAATTTGACAGAAACTGTGTGCCCAAAAAGTGTTTTTTTTGTTTGTTTGTTTAATGGCATTTATTTTCAATGTAAACAATTCAATAATATACTCCAGCAACCAAATAAATTCCAATTAGACATGGTCTAGCAATTCAACTGCCCAAACTAAAGTGTTTCCACCTGATATTGTCACAAAATACATGCATAGTACTAATCCCTATGCAGATGTTAAAAATGAAAAAAATAACATCTAACATGAATCTATTGGTCTCACATTATCCTCCAGCAACTTAATAAAGATTACAAACTAAAACTTCCTATAATACTTCCCAACCTCCGACAATTCAAACAACACAGATCAGGGCAGGATAATAATTATATTGGCCCAACGAAGTTTCTGTCCTATGACTTTAATAAATACTATTTTATGTATTCACATAATACTAATATGTATGTACATTAATGCATGGATGTATATACATACAAATACAAAAAATATGTATGCCCACAATTCCTACATATCAAAGACTAAAATGTTATGCAAAAACAATTATATATTGTGACTATTTTCTACACAATAGTCTAATAAAACTCCCTTTCAGCCACCCAATCATATAAAACCGAGGTAGCCTGATACATGGGTGGGGGGGACGTTTTCACTATATATTACAGTATCTTAATAAATTTACAAAATATGCAGATATATGAGTTTCTAGGCTTAAAAAAATTATGTAAAAATTGTGATTATACACACAATACAAAAATACCATGTAAGCCCTCAAACCTAACAAACTCAGAAGTTTGATACACAATTTCTAGCCACCCCCAGAAAATCTTGTGAATTATCTGAATGACTATACAACTAGAAATGTGTTTTAAAACAAGAACAATTAAAAATTTCACTGGCAAATGAAAATTTTTCTAACATATGCTATTTCACCACATGCAGAGACTTCTAGATGTTCCACAAGGATCTGGGTCTATTTGTACACATAAACATCCAAAAACCAAAAACAACCAAAGACATACACTGTTACAATGGCATTTCAAACCATGTTGCACCTTATCAGAGAAACACTAATACGTACACTATAATAAACATCATGCACTGTAATAAAACCTAAAAATTAAGACTAATGATCCAAAAGAATACAGAGGCTAGATGTAAACAAAATGGTTCTATCCTAATAATTTGATATTTATTTACAGCAATAGCTATGTATCTAGACAATTACACATAAAACAAAAATATTGAACATTATAAACAAAAACATATGACACTATCCACCAGCAATAAATTACTGTTGATAGACAATGTAACAAATTCACTGGCAAAAGGGGGAAAAAGTATACCTCAGTTCCACATTAGGATGCTTACAATATATATGCAGATCCCCAACATCTGAGCACAGAGTATCAAGAGTACGAGAAGTATGCATACAGAACTCCAAAAGAACCCATCCTCTATCTTCTGAATCCAAATTTTACATTTGTCTAATACAGACAAAGCAGTCTGTACATTGCTCTCGGCAACCAACAAAACCATAGACGGTCTAACAATGTAAATGGCAAAAAGAAATGCAAAATGTGGGTCACCTCTATGTTTCATAATTTGTCTATTTTATACAGAGTAATACAAAAGTCTACCCAACCCTGAACATCCATTGAGGCTGTACTCTTGTACATCAATACCATTGTTAAAAGGAGATCTATACCATAGATTTTAACAGAAAGACCATTTAACAGAAAAAACAACATCTACATCCATGAACTCCACACATAAAGTAGTTGCCTTAATAAGTTTTTCTGTTATATACAGAACAGTGGCCCCAAAAAACCTATAAATTAACCCAATCAAAGTACGTTATTGTGTATCAGAGATATGCTAACAATCCTATTTCCAAAATGATTCAGGAAATATTTCTTCATCAACAAAAAGTATTTAAAAAAATTTCTTCTGCCATACCATATGCTATGAACTCATTTCCAAAAAATATCACTTGTCATGTTAGCAATCTCAAGGAAATGTCACAAAGCAATTACTCATATTTGATTACTTAATATACAGTATTCTCAAAATACACATAAACAGCTAAAATAATTTTTTTCTAATTTACCTACAAAACGTTTTTCATGTCATTTTCTTTTCTGCCACCCATACACACTCATGACTTCAGAATTGTGTATAGCTTTAAAAGATGGCCTTTCAAAAATGTCTGGAAGACAATTTTACCAAGTCTCTTAAAGCTTCCTTATGAAACCAGCTCTATCACATCAACCATTAAAATTATCTGAAAATAGCTTTATATTCATAAATCTAGGCCTCTATGCTTGAATATTAGACTTCAAAGATAAAGAAAAAAATATAACTATTACATATCTAATTTCATTCTCCGATCTCCTAACATCCAACAAACAATTCATACATATTATCATTTAATTAGTAGTTTATATTTCATTGAAACAACACTGTCCAAAAAATAATCTCCAAGTATTTAAACAACAAATTGGCAAGGGTACACACATATAGAAAAGTAATTTAATATGATTTTAAAATTTAGAGCTGTTTTTAAAACTAACATAGATCAATTTTTCCAAGGGAAGTCAGCATTTCATAGCAAGAAAAACAAATATTCTCGGTTTTTCTCTTTCCAAATCCAACGATTACCCGATGAAATGTAAACACTTGAAAGGCAAGATGAAGTTCACCTTAAGTTGAGGATGAATAAATCAGTATTATTTTGTCCATATTTCTGTAGCTGGGTGAAGGGTCTAGCTGACTTCTTCTCTTTCTATCCATAAATTCCTCTAGGGCTGGGTTATGTCTAGTTGATATTGTCCAGTGTAGCCCAAATATTTCAAGTTTTATGCATTGGAAATAATTCTAAACTGAAGAGATACTCTTTAGGCACTTGCCAAGTTGTGACACAGGGGCATTTTTGGGAGGAATCTGGAGTAACAGATCCTGTCATGATGCTGTTAAGACCAGGTGATGAACACAGAGAGGAAGATCTAGAGAATGGCTCTACAGCAGGGCTCAGACCACAGGCGCCTTAGAGCAGCAGGAGGTTTAGACTTCCACAGCAGTCCACGATTAAAATCCTCAGGATGCTCCAGAAGACTTTAAAAACTATAACTCCAAATCTGCCTAACTCATCCTTCCATACAAATGTCTGGAGATTCTTAGGGGATACAGATGAAAGTGAAGGGATGTCACAAAAGTTATGAATCCAAATGTTCAACAATTAAAAGGGGGCAATTTCCACTTCTTATCTAGGCAAATGATACTATATAATCTTTGTGTTCTTCTCTGATCATTCCTTATTTCTAAAACTCTTGAAGCATGTCACCTGAAGGCTTCTAAAAAGAATGTGGTGAGGTTCATTGTGTCTTCCCTTTAGACTGCTCTGGCAGACAGGTGAATTAGGGAATCTGAGATGAGAATCAAGCTGGGAGGTTGTAAATACAGTTAAAGATGACAAAATCCTCAGCTGGACCTCCAGAACAGACAGCTATCTAATGGAGGGTGAACAGTGTCTGTCATACAATAATCTTGATCCATCTTTCTAGATTCCATTTGTGTCCATTGACAGCTACTCCCTTACCTCCTAGCTATCATGACATTTTACATCTCTACAAAACTGAAAATGTATCACAACTGGATTTAAAAAGATATTTTTGAATGGTTCGTGTGTTTGAGATATTATACATGTTTTCCTGCCAGGAATTTCTTCTGTGATTTATCTGTTAGTATTCATGTCCATTTTTAAAACAACTGTTCAGTACTTATTTTTACACTGAATTGTAAAAGACATTTATGTACATTACAAAAACCAACACCATAATATATAAACAATATATTGTTGTTGCTGTTTTTGTTGTCAGGTGCCATCGAGATAGTTCTGACTCATACTGATCCTATGTACAACACAACGAAACACTGCCCTGTCCTACACCATCCTTATGATTGTTGCTATGCTTGAGCCCACTGTTGCAGCCACCGTGTCAATCCATCTCATTGAGGGTCTTCCTCTTTTTCACTGACCCTCTACTTTACCAAACATGATGTCCTTCTCCAGGGACTGGTCCCTCCTGATAACATGTCCAAAGCATGTGAGACAAAGTCTTACCATCCTCGCTTCTAATAAGCATTCTGGCTGTACTTCTTCCAAGATTTGTTCATTCTTTTGGCAGTCCCTGGTATATTCAATATTCTTCACCAACACCACAATTCAAAGGCGTTAATTCTTCTTTGGTCTTCCTTATTCATTGTCCGGCTTTCATATGCATATGAGGCGACTGAAAACACCATGGCTTGAGTCCAGCGCACCTTAATCTTTAAAGTGACATCTTTGCTTTTTAACACTTTAAAGAAGTCTTTTGCAGCAGATGTGCCCAACACAATGCATCATTTGATTTCCTGACTGCTGCTTCCATGGGCCTTGATCGCGGATCCAAATAAAATGAAATCCTTTACAACTTCAATATTTGTATATTGATATATTGATTGACAATATACTAGAGCCCAAAAATATGATAGGTACTGTCTCAGTTATCTAGTGCTGCTATAACAGAAATACCACTAATTGATGGCTTTAACAAACAGAAGTTTACTCTCTCACAGTTAAGGAGGCTAAATGTCTGAATTCAGGGTGCCAGCTACCAGGGAAGGCTTTCTCTCTCGTCAGTTCTGGGGAAAGATCCTTGTCATCAATCTTCCCATGGTCTAGGAGCTTCTCAGCACAGGGACCGCAAGTCCAAATGCACGCTCCACTCTTGGCACTTCTTTCTTCGTGGTATGAGGTCCCTATCTCTCTGTTTGTTTCTCTCTCCTTTTATCTCTTGTAAGATAAAAGGTGATGGAGGCCACACCCCAGGGAAACTGCTCTTACATTGGATCAGGGGTGTGACTTTAGTAAGAGTGTTGCATCCCACCCTAATCTTCTTTAACATAACCTAATTTTGTCTCTTTATAAACACAGCAGAGATTATAAATGTGTTATAAATCATAGGAAAATTACATCAGAACACAAAATGGAGGACAATCATGCAATACTGGAAATCATGGCCTAGCCAAGTTGACATACCATTTTTGGGGGAGACAATTCAATCCATAATCGATGCATTTTCACGTTTTTATATAGTTAAGTTCTCTGTTATGCATTAACAAATAAGTCCTGTCTTTTCCTCAGGAACAACAATACCATCTCTATTTATAAGAGATTTCACAACAGACAAGTTCCCGTGAACACGTTGTTTTGCGAAAAGTTATTGCTGTTATCTAGAAGATTTATTCTCCAATGAGCTAGCCTGAACCCGGTAGAGGCATTCTATAAAAGAAAAACAACCTTAAGGGTCACCCTTTTCTATTTCTCATAAAGCGCCATCCTGAAATTTGGCACTCTCTTGCAAATATAAAATTGATGAAATATGAGAGCCGAGTTGAAGGAAATTTAATTTCCCCAATTCCCCGTACTGAGCAATGCGGCACAATAAAATGTCCTTGTTCTTGACCCAAACCCTCCCAAAGAAGGTGTGAGTCAGTGCCAAACTTTGCCTCTACTTACACCTTTTGTCCCTTCATGAACTGATTTTACTAATAATTGCGATAATACACGAATAGAACAAAAATTGACTATCCATCAAGCACCTACTAGATGCCAATTATTATACCAGGACTTGGAGTTTGAGCAGCAATAAGGACACCAGGGCTCTCGCGAATCATCAGTGTTTTTTATTTCCCATAAAGGAAGAATTTCTGAAAAAGCTACCCTGTAGCTTCTTGGAATCATTTTTCAAAATTTAGTGATGTAATCACCTTAGACAAACAAGAAGCACTAGTCAATAAACCAAGGCTTTGAAAGTTTTATCATTATGAGCCCCAGAAACAATTTCTCAGGGATAGGACATTTCTTTTGTTGACTCAACATCAGTTCAGCCAAGCTCACTAAAGAGGGTTATATATTATATAATAGATACTGATAATAAAAAGTACAATGTCTAAAATTTGCTATCAACCTGCAAAAATATGAAACTCAATTTCATTGTAGTAACTTATTCTCAGACAACTCCTAACCCACATTTCTTTTAATTCTCTGTGATCTCTTCTTATTCTGTTCAGTCCAAGCCAAAGTAAAGAAATCTTCTCGTTTGAAGTCTTGTTTCCTTCTTCAGATGCTATAGCACAGGGAGGGATTGTCACTAGACCAGAATATATATTCTTCTGCACTTCCCAACTTACAGGAATCGCACCTAAACTAACTTTACAAAGTTGCTAAGAAAAAGCGGATGACAATTCATTACAACACTAGTCCCACATAGGATCACAGACAGAAACAGAACTAAATTTCAAGAACTAAATACAGCCATCAGAGCATTTATAACAAAGCAGTATTATACAGTAAAACCTGCAAAAGCCGAAACCTGTGTAAGGCAGAAACCTGTCAGAGAAGGAAAACTCAAATATTTTCCACTAATATATAATGATATAAAAGTGGTACAGCTGCACCCTCTCTAAGATGGAAACCTTGTGAGACCTGGAAAAACAATGCAGTCCTGTCGACTTCCAGGTCTCATAGGTTTTACTATATATGTTAAAACTTCCACCAAAGAAACGGGTATTTCCCATACCCAATACCAAGAAATTCATTAGTATTGCCATTTTACAGATCACTTAAAATGATCCACAAGTAGATGGTTAAAATGAATTTAGATCATATGCCTGCTTACAAAGTAATGCAACTTACATGGAGTTCAAAATCTAACTTTAAACACGAAACAGATAAACCTTTCTAAGAAAATAAATACTAGGCAAGTATTGCCATATACAGGACATCAATCGAGAACACATCTACTCTTAAATGGCTTTCTCAAAAAAACATCTACTGGTCTCCAGGAATTTATTTATTGGTCTTTTTTCCACCCTAAAGTGACCTTCTTAGGTGAAAATTAGTGTAGTTGATCTATTATTAGGAACATTATCAAAAAAACCGTTTGTTTCAGAAAATAAAAAATTTTGTCAAGGAGGTGGGGAAATTGGAACTCTGACCCATTGCTAGTAGAAATGCAGAATGATACAACTATTGTGGAAAACAGTGTGTTGGTTCCTCAAAAAACTAAAAATAGAACTACCATATGACGCAGCAATCCTAGTTATATACCCAACAGACTTGAGGGCAGCAGTACTATTCACGATAGCCAAAATGTGCAAATAACCTAAATACCCACCAACGGATGAATGGAAAAGCGAAAGTGGTACACACAGACAACGGAATACTACTCAACCAGAAAGAGAAATGAAGTCCTGATACATGCTACAACATGGATGAATCCTGAAGACATTATGAGTGAAATCAGTCAATCACAAAAGGACAAATATAGTATGACCTCACTTACAAAATGACAAGATGAGACAAATACATAGAGACCAAAGTTTATTAGTGGTTATCAGGGTAAGGAGAAAAGGAGCTACTGTATAGGAAGCAGTGTGTATCTATTCATAGTGATGGGAAATTCAGCATCAATCCAGGCTATCATTACAAAACTGATTAATGTAATTGTTATCACTAAGCTGTACACCTGAAAAATCTTGAATTGGCAAATATTATGCTATATATATTCTTATCAAAAAGGGGGAGAAGCAGCTGTTAAAGCTGTTTATGAACAACCAAACATCTCACGGGATTTGTTTTCTTAGTTTAGAGGTTTAGGGTTATGGTTTCAAGGGACATCCCGATTAGCCTAATATTATTTCTCAGCATTTCTGTTCTACCTCCTAGTTTGTTGTGTAGTGATTAGGGTCCTAAAAGCTAACAAGCAGCCACCCAAGGTACAACAATTGGTCTCCATTCACCTGAAGAAACACACAGGAAAAAGGAGGGTCAGGAATTGAAAGAAAAATCAAACCCATGTCTGGTTGCCTCCATGAACAACTGCATCCTCTTCCATGAGACCAGAAAAAAACTAGTGCCCAGCTACCATCACTGAATGTTTTGATTAAAGATTCTATAGAAGAATCCTCATCAAAACTGAGAAAAATGTAGAACAAAATTTCACATTCTCAATGGAATCCAGACTTTCTGGAGCCATTGATGCAGGATGAGCCCCTGAAACTACTGCCCTGAGATAATCTTTGAACTTCAAACCTTAAACCAAAACTTAGTCTTCACTGAACCAAAAATAGCTTATTTCAATTAGAAAAGCATAGTGCTCTTTCAAAGAATTATATATGTGAGATTAAACTGACAATGTCAATTTGAAAGGCTGGATAGAAAGTTTAGGGGCAATGAGTGTAGGATAACGGTGGTAGAATAATGTGGAAAAGGATAGCAAGATTGGTAGCATAACTTGAATGCAACCAATGTTACTGAATTATACATGCAGAAATTGTTGAAATGGTCTATCTTTGGCTGTGTATACTTTCACCAAAAAAAAATATATATAATATAATATATAAATATAAATATATATAAAATATATATTATATAAATATATATTTATATTATATATATTATATATGTAATATAATATATAAATGCATATATATTTTTGAAAAAAAAGTTTTCAAATGAAGTACATACTTTAAATGTACTTTGGCAATCTGTTCTTCACAAATGATATATGGATTCATATTCCCAAAGAAATTACGTGCATGTCCCTTCCCTATTTAACCATAATGACTACTATTAGTCATTCTTACTTTTTATAATCTTGCAAGAAAAATATAAATACTATTTTTCTTTGATTTAGATTTTTAATATTACAAAAGTTAAATTCCTTTCAATATTCACTGCTCATTTTCATAAGTATGCTATAGATTATTTCATTATGTTCTCCAAATATGTATAAATTGTAAGTCATAAAATAGCACTGTTCTGAAAATCAATACATCATCCTGAATATAATCCAGTTGTTCTCTAAGTGCAGTACCTGAACCAGTAGCATCTGGGAACTTGTTGAAAAGCAACTTCTCAGACTTAAGCCTACTGATTTAGAACCTGAGGGCAGGACCCAGCAAACTCTGTCTTAACAATTCTTCTAGGTGATTTTGATGTTCACTGAAGTTTGAGAACCACTGATTTAACCAAAGCTGCTTAGATATGTGCAGTGGTTTACCCATTCCAGGAAAGGTAGCAGAATCAGCCATCTCAGTAGCCTACTTTGATAATCACAATAATCTCAACCAAAGACATAATCCTGTCTATAAAATCACCTCAAACAAATATGGAAAAGGTGGCTGATACTCAAACGGAAGGAACACACAAATTTGGCTGTAAATGGCAATTCTGACTCCTAAACTACCCTCACTGTTCTAATATTCAAACCTACTACTGTTGGTGAGATTTTTATTGTTGCTAACAAGAAAAATAATTTTGGAATGTAAATTTGGAATAATTTACACTTCTCCATTCACACGTGAGCAACTCAAGGTCATGCTCCAATCACTTTAAACTGGTCACTTTCTTTCTTTTCTTCCTCTCATCCTCCATCTATTGCTAACTCATTCCTACTATTACTCTTCAAACTGCTCCCCTCATAAATTAGCTTGGCTGGACCTCAGATTCCCTTCGCAAGAATTAAAACTGAAGTCAGGTCCATGAAATAATGAGTCTCATCATCAAGTCAACCAAATAAAGACCTAACTGCCTTCCAGGGATTCTTATTTACAGGAGATTTTCTTTAGGCCACATGTAAAAATGAATTTGGTTAATAAAATGGGGCTGTGCCAGCAACTACCACTGATTCTCTTCACCCGTCAGTAATGACTGATCATTTTAAGTTTCATCATCATCCAAGGTCAAATAATTCTATGCTAACACTATACCTCAACAGAATCCACACTCATTTCCCTTCCCTTGCTCACTCAGAGCTGTATGTTTCTAATCAATTTATTTAGTAGAAAGGGTAGATCACTTTCTCTCAATTCATCTAGGATATCCTTGTAGGCCGAGATCAGATGCACGTAAAGAAAATAAACAAATCTAGGAGGGGAAAATATAATTTTTGGGAGGAAAACAGAGACTTAATAAGAAAAATAAGTGAAAGAACTTGACTACCTTACTTTAAAAAGAATCTTCATTCTTCTAAACCCCAACAGCTTCTCACTACAAGCAAGTCACTTGTTATGTGGTAACACATTATCAACAATGACATCACTCACACACACCCATGCATATATGCGCATACCTTATCAATTTAAGATGGTGTTATGGGTTGAAATGTGTGTCCCCCCAAAATGTGTGTTCTAAATCCTAACCTCTATGTCTGTGGTTGGAGCCCTGGTGGCGCAGTGGTTAAGAGATCACTACTAACCAAAAGGTCAGCAGTTCGAATCAACCAGCCCGCTCCTTGGAAAACCTATGAGGCAGTTCTACTTTGTCCTATAGAGTAGCCATGAGTCAGAATCTACTGGAAGGTAATGGGTAACATCTGTGGTTATAATTCCATTTGGCAATGGGTTGTCTTTGTTATGCTAAGGAGGCATGATTAGTGTAGGGTGTGTCTTGAGTCAATCTCTTTTGGGTTATAAGACATTAAACAAGCAAGCTAGCAAGCAGAGATGGGAGAATATAAATGGCAAGAAGCCACATAGAGATCTCCAAGGAACCAGCAAACAAGCTGAAGAGACAATAACCTTCCTCCAGAGCTGACAGAGAAAGAAAAGACCTACCCTATAGCCAGTGCCCTGAATTCAGACTTCTAGCCTCCTAAACTGTGAGAAAATAAATTTCTGTTTGTTAAAGCCATCCACTTGTGTTACTTCTGTTACAGCAGCACTAGATAATTAAGACAGCTGGATATGTTGGTATTTTCAAATGTCCAAGGTATCTTTTTATACAAGTTATTTGAAGCTACTCCTCCCTCATAATAGCTACTATAAGCAAAGCACAACCACCTAATAATAGAATGCCAATAACAGACAACTCAGATAACACAGATATCACCTATTATTCACACAAGCACAGAGAAACATTAAAGAAGGTGAGATGATAACCTGACTTCAGTTACCAATGTCATCACTGAAGAAACATATGGCATTAAGCAAATCATTTCATCTCTCTGGGGCTCAGCATCAACAACTGTAAAGACAATTTTATGCCTTTAAATAAATCACAAAGAGTAAAACCTCTAACTCACCATCTATATCTTTTCAAGATACAGAAAACTAAATAAAAATATTAATTTACTAATGTCTCATCTTAGAACAAAGAAACGTGTCCACCAACAAAACTAGCTATTTCTCATTCATATGGAAAATGCCTCACAGAGGCTGGGAACTTGCCCTCAGGAATGTTTCGTACAAGGTTGGAACTAAGTGATGCTAGAGTTCTTACTTGAAATGCATAGTGCAAAAGAAGACAAAGGTGAAATATACCAATGCTACAAACACAGAAGATAGCCTACACAAGAAGAATGTACTGGGAAATCTAGAATCAACCTGAAAGACCTATAGCTTCTTCATTCCCCCTAGCCTGACAGTATCAACAGAAAAACCCTTGTAAAATTCACAATCCATTAACTATCAGAAAACTTGTATCCTGAGTCCCTGGATTGACACTTAGGCTGGAATTCAGAGAAATCATATTGAGCTTTACTTCATCATGCTCACAGTAAGCATATCTCATCATAAGTCCAGCCAAGGTCTTTACCAATAACTAGCACAGCTCTGAAAATGACTCTTACCTGCAGATAGTACATCTCCACTCATGGAAAGTCCCCTAGTCTAGGGGACATTATCTAACAATGTAGGTAAAACAGCTTTAATTATCATTCAAATGATACAGAATTGATGGGAAAACATGAAAAAATTAATTGGCCAGAATAACTTTGAGATCTTGAAATTCAGAACTAAATATGCAATAGATTATAATCCATTTCCATAAGCAAACCATTTAAAAATCAAAACTAAATACTGAAATGTCCCCATAAACAGCTCAATAATATGCTATTTTCCCCAATAATTTATTATAAATCAATTTCGAGACCTAGATCATACATAAAACATCTACCTACAAATTTCAAATTGTGAAAAAATAGCATGGAAGAATAAATAAGAATGGTCAAATAAAATGAGGAAGGCCTGATTTGGAATGAAGCACTAAGCCTAACAATAGGCCTGTTGATACATGGCATCCTGGAGGGTTCTGAATGAGCTCTAAGGTAAAGTTCTAACATCAATGACATAAGAAACAAAAATGGTTTAGGCTTCCGGGCAACATGGTGCTGCAGTCAGAAGCAACACGCCGTCCCTCCGCAGCAAAGATCACAAAAACTCGGTCAAAGAGAGCCACACGTCAATCCTGAAACCTAAGCATCGAATGAAGAGATAAAGAACTCAGCCAAGCACCAAATGGAATAAGAAACTGACCGAGAACAGAGAGCAAGGGGAGATACATGCAGAGGTCCCCTATCAGCTACCACAGCACGGATCCGCCATCTTGGACTCCTATCCAAGATCAGCAAACAGAGGATATGAGAAAGCAGCTTCACAGAGCTTCCAGCAGGTGACAAAACAACCGGTCACCAGTGATATAGGCTTTCCCATCCCCCACCGTTCTTCACCCGGACTTAGCCTCCTCTGCTCCCTGCAGTCACAGTCTCTTGGCTGGGAAACACAAGCTTCACCCCATGTCACTTGCATTCCACCCGCCTGTACTGGCCAGCTCCCTGGGTGCTTTTTGTCGGCTGCTGTCATTGCTTTTTTCCACTTCTTTAGATTTCTTCCTTACGTCTCACTACCTCTCCCTCCTTTCTCTCAAACACCTGTCTCCGTGCGCCATTGTTGCTTTTTCCCGAAAGGCTGCGAAACACCACTTGACTGTGAAACTGCTTCCCAGCCCATGCCGCCACGCTGGTGGGACCCCCGGGGCTTTTTTGTTTGTTTGCTGTGACTTGTTCTGATTTGTTTTCATTTTCTTTTCTCAGACTCGGAGCCCCTTCTAGCCGGGCAGCCATGTGGCTTGGAAGCTACTCCATTACTCTGCCCAGACGCACAGGGACATCCCTGGGGGCATTTCTTTTTTCTTTTTTTTGGTGTTTTTGGTTTTTGGGTTTTTTTTTTTTTGTTTCTTTGTTTTCTTCTCTCTCTTATTCCCTTCCTCTCTTTCTTCATTTCCAGTTCCTCAATTTATTCATTGTTTTCCTTTTACCCTTTTTATTTTTTTCCATTTTTGTTTTTCATCATTTCTCAGTCTCTCATCTCTCCAATCCAATTAACAAGCTCCCTTAGCACTCTTTTTCGTTTGTGTGTATGTTTTTGGCTCCTGGTTCCTCTCTCCTCTTTCTCATCTTTCCCATACCCATCTTAGCTCCACATATCATAATCTACCCCCTCCTTCCTGCCTACCTGCACCGTGCACTGAACATCACACTCCCAAGAAGCACAGGCACGGCCTACTGGAACCTGCCATGCACCGATTCTGGGTCCGCATTATCAGCCCTGGTACGTGCCACAAACAACCCATCCCAGCAACTCCCCTTCAGCTGGACCTGCCCTGCTGTACCATACGTGAGTGACTGACCCTGCCCACTGGAGAAGGAGGTGAAAAGTATCGTGTCCACAGATGAACAAACAACAAAGAAAGCACAGCCCGCCTGCCCAGACATAACCAAATAAAACAAAAAGCAGGACGAAACAAACAAATCTACAATAAATAAATGAGGAAAATAACCACTGAATGCCCTGAAGACAGCAGACAATATCAAAACATTAGCAAAAACAGGACAGGATGGTTCCAGTAGGTGTCCAAAATAAAACACTAGACGACCTTACAGTAGAAGAAAAGGCACTAGACCTAACTGATAGGGAATACAAATCTCTAATATTCAGAATTATCCAAAAGTTTAAGTAAAAAGCAGACAAAAATGAGGAAAAACTAGACAAATTCATGGAAAAGGCAGACAAATTCATGGAAAATACAGAAAAAAATGGAAGAATTTAAGAAAATAATACAGGAACAAAATGCTAAAATAAACTCACAACTAGAATCATACAAAAACAATTAGAAATCCAAAAGATAAACAACAAGATTTCAGAAATGGACAGAAGGACTGAGGAGCAGGTTTGAAACAATGGAAGACAGGATCAGCGAGATTGAAGACAAACACCTGGATACAACTCTGAGGAAAAATCAGAAAAAACAACGAAGAAAAATGAAGAAACACTGAGAATTATGTGGCATACAATCAAAAGCAAATATCTGTGAGTGATTGGAGTTCCAGAACAAGGAGAGAAAACATAAAACACAGAGAGGATCATTGAAGAACTGCTGAAAGAAAACTTCCCCAATATCATGAAAGATGAAAAGCTGACCATCCAAGAGGCTCAATGAACCCTATATAGGACAGACTCCAAAAGAAAATCACCAAGGCATATCATAATCACACTTGCTAAAACCAATGACAAACAAAGAATCCTGAGAGCAGCTCGAGAAAACAAAAAGTCACATACAGAGGAGAAACAAGACTAAGCTCAGATTATTTGACAGAAACCATGCAGGCAAGAAGGCAATGGGATGACATATATAAAACCTTGAAAGAAAAAAACTGCCAGCCAAAATCCTGCAAAATTCTCGTTCAGATACGATGGTGAAATTAGTACATTTCCACATAAACAGAAATTAA